ATTATTAACTGTTGAGTTAAAGGATTTGTCTCTCTCAAGATTTTTATTTCAATATATTCAATGTTAACGCATAACAAAGACAACTGTTTTAAGATTTCTACCGTGTTTGGAAACTTCCCCTTAATGAAATCCTGATCAATAACAATCTCCAAACTGCGTAAAGAATGAATTGCAGTACTTGTCACAAAAGTTGATTTCAATGTTGGAAGATGAGAACTATAATAATGAGGAGAAATTAAAATCGATTGTATCTTCACACATTTACGTAAAAACATGTGCCACAAAGATGCCGTAATTGCTCCAACGGGGAAATCAGAGAATTTCTGGTTTATCTGCTTATGAACCCAATCAAGAACACTTGAATTCAAATGACAATCAGAAATACTTTCCAAATATCTTGCATAATCAAACAAAGTAGGTTGGACTTCGGCAAGATTAATTTTATACGGACTTAGATTTGTAAGTTCATCCGTATTAAAACATGATATATATGTTCTTATGAGTAAATGCCGTTTTGAAAGAGGACAGTTTACAAATGGTTGACACCAAAGTAATGGAACTACTTGACTACTCCAAAAACGGTTTACACATAGAGAATTGTAAAGAGCGTCTTGATCCTCACGGAGGTATTGCAAGATATCATGGATCAAATCATCTGACAAGTGCCGCACTGGCATTTTATTTAAAGGCCAAATCGTTTTAATAGTTAATGGAAGGCAGAGAAAAGCAAAACAAAAAAGACCTATTTATATATGTATTGCAAAATAGCGTGCGTGATCTTGTATCACACATGACGATCGCATACAAAAAAATTTCTCCCTTCCAATTTTGACAGATATAGAGCATAGAAGTACAGTATGTACGTACGTACGTACGCACGTACAGTATGTCATAATAGTAAAGGTTCTAGAATATTATATGGTGGATGTTATAATAGATTTCGAAGTAACATATATTGATAAAATTTATAATATTAACATTATTGATTTTTCTATTAAAATCATTGATTAAATATGGTACGTACGTATGTGCCACTTCTATCGGAACAATGAGACGAAAACTTTGAGACGTCGTTTTAATTCGAAGAGGTTAGTTCAAAACTTATTTCTCTAAAAGTATAAATTATTTCTTTGCTAAGGCTAGCGATGTTACCAAACTGGTAACACACTGACTTTTTAATTCATACCTCATCACCGAACTAATATCTCATGGTTTCGTTCCAAAGCTTGGTTAACGTCGATATACGTACGTACGTACGTACATTTCAAAGAGTGACCGTACGTACGTACCATCATTTGTAGATCGGTTACACGATTCATAAGACTTTTTACAGTACGTACGTCCTGCGTGACTACGTATGAAACATGATCAAGTGCATTAAGTAAATGAAGTATTCGAACTATACGTACTGCAACATATTTCATTAATCCCACACCATTATTCACTAGCAAAGACATTTCAAAATAAAGCAATACAACTCAAACCACTAAGTTAACTAAATTTTACTTGTTTAAGAGATAAAAAAGGCCAAGAATAACAATTTGGTGAAGGCAACATGAAAAGGTGTTTTTTTTTTAAGTAACAGCTGGCTTAGCTCCCCCCAAAGTATAAAATTTTAATTTAGGCAGTTATTATGCTGGCGCAATATATCTGGTCAGATGATCAGCACTTTGGGAGCTTGGCTAAGTTTTATATACTTTAATTAAAGCTTTTTCTACTATTTTTAAATATTCTTTTATCAAATATATTGAAAAGTTTACTCAAGCAAAAAGTTTTGATTTTAATATAAATTATCTAAATATTGTTTGCCTTTTGGTTATTTTATATCTATTTAACTTTATTAATAATAATTTATTTTAATAAAATTAAAAGTATCTATTGAGAGGTGTGGTGACATAGTGCAGTTGGCAAGTTGTCACCCCCAAATGGCAGGTCTAGGGTTCAAATCCCACTGGCGATGATTTTGAAA